ATAGTCACAATGAAAAAAAATGTCGTATCACAAGAGAAACTGATCGGAATAGGCATTAAAGGAGATCTTAAAGTAAAGTTTAGAAAAGAATTTCAGTAATTTTGACTTTAAAAAGACATACCTGTTATTTATCCCAAATTACGGAGTATTGTGAGAAAGTTTTTATTTGCTTTTCCTAGTGAGAGGGAGTTTCAGTAAGTTTGGCAATCTCAAAAAAAGGAAGGAAGAAAGAAAGGTGGGAAAAAACTGGACACTTACTAACATAGGGGATTTAGAGTTAAACTTGACTAGAAGGATATTAAATGTTGAAAAATTGATATTGAAGCACCAGATCCATTCCTCTCATTAAAAGCAGTTGTTTGTTGTTCAGTTATTTTGTGCAAAAGTTGTTTTATATGTATTAATTTAATATAAATTTAATTCATTAAGGTATCCGACTACGTTCGGAACCGTGATTTTAAAAAAGCGCATAAATGGATAATTTTCATGATATTTAGTGTCATTTAGATTAGAATGCAAGTATAAAATTGTTTTAAGGACATTTGGACAAAAAAAAATTATTTAAATACAATATTTTGGCAAAAATTTAACTTAGAATAACCTTTTTTCAAAATGTTCTCCTTTTATAAGAAATGCTTCTAAAATAATAATATTTTGTGCTTATATAAAGTAAAGACTTCTCCATAGAGTCTGAATTTTTTTTTTTTTTTTGAAAAATTCACATTATTTTCAGAGTTACAATCAATTGAAATAATTATCGGCGTTTTTTTCTTATAATTTCTCCCCTCTGTTGCCGTAAAACTTGGATAAACCCACTTCTAAGTTATATATTTCAAAAATTCTAGCTGAGCCTCTGTACAGAGATCTGAGCTGTATACAGGCAAAATATTATTATAATGGCTTTTTTTCAAAAAAGAAGAATTTTTTTGAAAATGGGTCATTTATGTTCATTTTTTGTCAAAATATTGTACTTAAATAATTTTTTATTGTAATAATACTCTTAAAACAATTTAATATACATTTTCTAACCTAAGTGGCGCTAAACATCATAAATATTATCCATTTATACGCTTTTGAAAATCACGGTTCCGAACGTAGTCGGATACCTTAATATGTGCTTCTTAAGTTTTAAACGCTTACACTACAGATAGAAATTTAATTCTTTTAAAGTAAGTAGTAATACCAGCTGTCAAAAAAGAATTTAAGTTGATAAATTTGGAAAAAATTATTAGGTGGGGAGGGGGCTACCCGAAACCGCATGGGAAGGGGGAACAAAAACAAAAAAAAATGTTTAGGAACCTCTGCTCTACATTCTTATACCCCTATGAAAGCAACCAAAAAAAATGTATATCATAAGATAGAACAGCAATAAAAAATCATTGTATAGCTCAGGTATGAAAATTGAATACATATATTGTAATATGAATACATGAGTAAAAAAAAATATAATTGTAAAAAATGAGCTATAAACAGGAAAAAATTAACAATTCTTTTAAGAAATATCTAATTAATTACCTAAATTAAAAGAAATAATTTCTAAGCATTGAATTCCTGTGTTCGAAATATCTGGAGAAATAAAACCTTTATCTTATAAGCAGACGATAAAAATTCATTTCCATCTTGAGGTAAATAGACCTTCGCGGTTTTTTCCCTAAACGTTAAACAATACTTCCGGCTTCCCCTTTTTTTTTAATTTCTGAAGCTACATTCTTGATAGGGGAAACCCTTTGCTTTTATTGCTCAGCCTAATTTCCCCTTTCCCTTTCCCCGACTAAACATTCCCGAAATTTTTTTTCCTTTTCCACAAATGAGAATGTTTGTATCGAATCCAGTTTCCTGATGCTTTACGGTCAAGGTGCAAGACCACGCTTTTCTCTATCGCCAAGGTAGAAAAAGTCACTCATTTCCACAAGGTAAATGCCCCGAGCGCTGACAGGATCATAAGCTGGATAATAAAAGAAAAAAGACGCCAAACAATTATAAAAAAAATTAAAACTTGATTGAGTAGCTTTGACCTTCTGGCTTCGTGATCTGTTTCCCAAAATAAGAAGAATAGTCATTTTTACCTTTCGCCAAAAAGCTAGATCTGACGTTTAGAATGTCTTTTTTTGCTTTGGAACTTCATCTTGAACTAAAGATCATTATTCTGCTGCTAAAGTTGTTTTGTAACAATTCTAGAATTTACTACTGAGCTAAAAGCGGGGGAAACACGTGACATTGAAAAAAAATGATGAATGTGATCGAACATACTAATAAATGATGCATTAGCTCAGAGAGTTCCTGAAAATATTTTTTGAAACTTTGGAAAATATGGACTATTTTTAATGAAAACAAGTTTTTATCTCGTGATGACTTGGTGAAAAGGAAACTTAGTTTATTTTCCTAATTTCAAGTGTACAAATCACGTTTAAAATCTCGTTTTATCTGGTTTGGACGAAAAAAACAATTGAAGATCTAAATAATTTAAGAAGCTAGACTAAGTGTTTAGTATGTTAAAATCAGAATTTAAAGTGAGTTTGAAAGTTACAAAACTCTCTCTCTCTCTCTCTGCAATTTATTAATTAATATTTATCCTAAACAGAATTATCGATACTTGAATTTAAAAGTTGTACATTATAATAAATGCAAAAGTAAATGTTATTGTTCTTTCTAATGCCACCGGGTTGACGGTGTCCGATCGAAGCCCACGAAACTCATCGTGGCAAGGAAATGGATTTTGTCAGTCGTTAGCCGTAGCTTTGAACACCATGCAGATGACAGTACGTTTTGGCTCTGTTCCACGCAAAGTTTGAGGAAACACCTTAGAGGGTTCAGGGGCCTCCCATCTCTCTTCCCACAACTTCTCGAAGGCCTATGCCACACTGGCACTCCATATTTGTAAACATCCATGCCTCCTTCAGGATTCGAGTCCGCGCCCTACGGCAGAGTAATCAGCATCGCATCAAACCCTGTACCATCTGGGAGACGCTATAGAAATAAATACGTCACGTTATGTAAATGATAACAGAGATAGAGAGAGAGAGAATACTTCACACTATACAGAAATATGAATTCCAAATATTACAACTAACATTGTTGCTATTTTAGCTATAATAAATGCTTTTCAAATAAGATTAAACCTCTTAACGAACAATAACTCAAATTAGATAAGGTTGCGGGATGTTTAAATCATATTCAGCTACTTTGGCTTCAAATGATAAAGGAAAAAAAATTAAAAATTATTATTGATATAAATTTTTAAAAAAGCAATTTAATTCTTGACAATTAATACTGAATTCAAAATTTAATAAGATTTTCAGAAAATATATCAGAAACATATAAAGAAAAATGAACAAATGAGTTAAAGATATTATCCCGTTAAAATCATTTGAAAAAAAAAGGTTTGCATACTAATTACAAATTAACGTTGAAAAGTTCACTAACTTAATCACGTAAAATAATTAAGAAACACCGTTAAGATTTACACTGAAATTTATCTTGATTTTATCAATAAAGATAAGAAATGCATATAATGTATTTTCTTTTAAAGAGTTGAAAGTAATAAATTTGATAAAAGAGAATAGTAATAAAAACTACTTATAAACAATGAAGCTCCAAAAGTCATACATTTTTCTTGTATAATTTCTTCAATTTAAAATTCTCAATCTATTCCATACGTTTTTCTCCAAAATAAGGTAAAAGAACCCATAAAAGTAAAATTGTTTGGAAGGAGGAAAAGTGTTTGTAAAGGGAATGGCATTATTCACCGGTAAATGTTAGGTTTCACTCTGAGAAATTGTTTAACGCATCAGTGGAACAAATCCATAACTTCAAACTGCAAAGGGAGATTGTAACTAATTTACATTTTTAAATCTTATTTTCTTTTTATTACTTCTTTCTAATTGAACAAAGATTTTCATATCGTATATTTTGATCAACGAAAAATTTAATGGGTATTGATCATAAAATTCATGTGAAGTAGATAAGGTCATGAGCTCTTGACATCAAGTACAAATTGCTAAATTGCAGCAGTAACAATGATGCTTCAAAAGAAACAGAAAAAAAAAATTCAAATTATAGCACGAAATACGTAATAAAAGAGAGCATATGTGGTAATCAAGGGGAGAAACAAGGGAAATAAACAATGGAGGACAATTTCCATTCCAAGGGTTAAAACGATGAATCGGAGAGGTCACGTTATAAAATTACAGATGGAATGTTTTTCCGAATAGATGGTGAATGTTTTTTTATAAATGACCTTTATAACGTTCATAAGAATTGAATTCTGTGCAATTTTTTCAAAGCAAGATTTCTCGAATATAACATCTTAGCTAACTTTGAAATGATGAAAGTACGAAACTTTAAACCTCTAATAATGTTTTCATGAAATACTCTGTATAAATATGAAATCTATTTTTTTCATTTAATGGGGAAACAATACGATTCAATAGACAAAAATCGGTTAAAAAATCGAATCAATTTTTTTTTAAACCTAAATTATTTCTTTTATAATTTTTTACTATCTCACAGGCTCTAAGCTAAAAAAAACAAACAAGAGTTATGAAAATTGTTATGTTTGCTTTTATGCACATCCTAATGGAAAATAAAAACTTATCTGATTTATCTCAGAAAGAAAAATCACTAGTTTTTCTTCATTTTAAATACTAAGGCTTTTTTTCCCTATTGTACGAAATGATATGATATTTTTTCTAATTGTTGCTACTACCGTATTTACTCGAATCCAAGCCGCACTTTTTACAATTCTTAATCTTAGATCACTCTCTCCCTATATATATATATAAATACATATATCTTGTTCAAATTTTCCATCGTTATTAAAATACTTTCTATTCATCCATTCAGTTTCAAAAACATTTTTGAAAACTTGTAGTAGATGACACTTGATGTTAATACAGTTTTTTCAAACATTAATTCATTAATTAAATTTAAAAAATGTATAAATAGTAACAAACAAAAATAATAGTCCAACAACATATATAAAAAGGAAAATCTCTCGTTGTGTCCCTGTAGCGAAATGGATAGCGCGTTGGACGTCTAATCCAAAGGTCGTGGGTATCGAAACCCACCTGGGATGGCCTAATTTCTGAGAATGTGGTTTCTTTTTTACTATACTATATTATTGAATAATTAAATCTAATTAATTAATAAATAGTAGCAAACAAACAAAAAATATTCCAACTCCATATATAGAAAGGAAAATGGAAAAATCGCTTTCTATTTTGTCACTTAATATTGTGATTCTGTCATATGTATATACATATTTATATTAATTGTAACTATTTAATAGAAAGTAACTAAAATAAAAATTTTCTTTGGTGACCTAAGTAGGAATTGACAAAAAAAAATTTTTTTATATGTTATTTTACTATTTTAAAACTCATGAAAATCGGGTGCTGCTTAAAATTAAAGGAAAAATATTCGTTGGATGGGGCAATTATTATGTATTTAAAAGTTTTTAATACTGGCAAAATAATTAATTATTCACTTTTTAATAGTTATCATTTTAAATTTATTTTATTTTCGCGTAAAATTGGATATCTGTATAAATCATTTTACTCTATTTTTCATTTTACACAAAAACTTGTCGAGAATTTGGGAGTGCGGCTTAGAATTGATGGCGCTTAGATTTGAATAAATACGACAATATTATAATAATATTCATAGTAATAACTGATTGAAAAAGCATATTTTCCCAAATTTATTTATTTAGAAACTCTCTTTCTCTCAGAATAAAAGAAATATCATATTCAACACGCATTTCATAATTTCATTTCTTATTTCCAGTGGTGGATGCGATCGGCAAACCTTCAGCTGGTATCCTCGAAGGAACTGCAATAGCTATGGGAGACTACGATGAATGTTTGGACATTGTTGCTCCCAGAAGGATGAGACCGCCCCCAGTTCCACCTTTTACTGAAGATGAGATAGCGTTTCATGGACAATATTGCGTCGTACAAATACAACTTCCAGAAGGTATCAAGCAAGCCGCTATGGCCTATCAAGTAGGCAACAGAAGTGCTTCTGAGCTTGCAAACAGTAAAACAGTAAGTACATATACATATATTTAATTTTTTCATAAAATATGCTTCCTAGTAAGTGTGGCAAAAATGTACAATAGATATTTTGAAGATTTCAACATTGATATTTGAAAATAGGTTTACTGTAAAAGATAAAACTGTTTATTTGTTGTAAAAGAAAAAAAATCACAATCGTTGCTTATCAATGACACAAAAATTGATAACAATTTCACTGTTTTAAATTTATGAGTTTTAATCTAATAAAAATGTGTGTTCAGTTAAAACATCTTAATTCCATGACTTTTTAATCAATAAAGATTAAAAAAGGATTACAGAAAGGATTACATTTAAATTACGCATCAGTAATAAGTCCCTACGTGAAAAATTATTTACATGTTCGGGATCATATAGTACCATAAAAATAGGATTAAAAATGATACCAATAGTGAGTGATAACTTTCTTTATTATTACATAAAATTGGTAATACTAGCTAAACACTTCTTTCGTGAAGATATAGTTTAAAATAAATGTCGTACATGTCAGGAAAAAGAAAAAAAAAATTAAAGAAATAATTTCATTTAAAAAAATTATTTAAATTCTTTTAAAAGAACAAAATAACATCATATTTCTGTTTACCAATAAATTTAAGTGTAAATCTCTCTATTAAAAATTTTATTTAAATTCTTTTAAAAGAACAAAATAACATATTTCTGTTTACCAATGTTTAGGTAACATCTCTCTATTAAAATCTTTTAAATTTTAAAGAACAAAATAACATATTTCTGTTTACCAATAAATTTAAGTGTAAATCTCTCTATTTTAATCTTATTTAATATATTCTAACAATATAAATATCGCAAAAATGTTTGGTTAAAAATCTACAATTCGCCTTTTCAGAACGCCCCTTGCAAATACATTTGCATAATTAGTTGGATTGGGCTGCTAAAACATAATAATATTTATAATCACCATAATATATCGAAATATTAATTTCTTAAGATAACTTTAACTAAATTCTTAGTTAAAGCTACATTTGAGAATAACATGCAAATAAAAATGATTATGCATTATTTTAACATATGTAAAGTTATTAGCAGGGAATTTTTGGAAAATTTTATAGGGAAAATAAGGGGTTGGTTTGTATACGGATCACGATAATCTCAGGGAAAAAAGTAATTTAATAAAAACGGGTTTTTTAAAATATTTATATATAAATATATATTTCCGTTACCAGTTTGCAAACGATATCTTTTGAACTTTTGAACTTTTGATGTTTTGAATTCTAAAAGATGAAAATCATTTAGAATTATTGCAAATCTTTTATTCTAAAAAGAGGAAAAAAATTTCTTTTGTAAATCCTTCAAAATCAATGTCAAGATCCAAGTTTCCGAATAGTTCGTAGAATTCTCATTTATTCATTGGGGTGTCTGAATGCACATGATTATCATGCAGCGAGTGTTACCTCCAGGGAATTAAAGAAGTCGATGATGACCCGCCGCGTACACGGAACTCTCTTCCCGCTCATTTTCCAAACAAAGAACAAGCGCAGAAAGAATGAATTACGTAAATATTGTACCGCTAAAACTGTGCTTTATTTCAGACAAAGCTACCAGAAATAAAAAAATTGTCGTTAAAGTTTTATTTTAAAGAAAATTTGATTGGAAAGTATTTCACCTCTTTTTGCCTGCTTGGCAACAATTTCGTCATCATAGTGACACTTTTTGAAAATCACAGGAACATTTTTGCAATTCGGCTTATATACAAATTTTGAGTTTGGAACAAATTTTTGAAAAAGATTTATACTCTCGGCTTATATTTGGAAAAATACGGTATTGATTTTACCCTTAGCATAATTAAAATTTAAAAATTTAATTAATATTTTTAAAAATTTAAGAGTAATTTCACATTGGGGTCGAAACAATTATATATAAGAAAATTATGAATTAGAAATTTATAACAAAGTACTTTTTCGAAGCCAAAATATGATCCCGTATCAATAAAAAAAATTTAGAATTTCGAAGTTTTAAGTTTTATTTTCCTCAACCGGTTGCAAGAGGAAAGAAATGATAATAAGGAAAATATAATTTAATTATAAGCATATAGCTTCACTAATTTCATGGATTTGATTATTATCTTTATTTTACCTAATGTGGAGTTTCATGTAAGGAATCGCGTCAAGGCTTCTGCCGAAATTAAACGGGGAAATTCCTCCCTCTCTAAATCATCAATACATGAAAGCTAAAACTGTTATTTCTAGATACTTAATTATATTTTGAAAAGAAGAATTAAAATTTAGTAAACTGAATTCAATTTCTTCTATTACTTTATGGGGGGAAATTATCCTTAAGGAAAGACATCAAGAAGTAAAAAAAAAAATCTCTACTCAATAAATACGTACGAAATATTTCAAAATCCATGATATAACCATAAAAATACACACATTCATTTTTTTTTTGCAATGATTATAATATGAGCATGATTACAATTATAAATTTTAGAATATTAAAGCTGAAACAGAAGTTTCCCATATTCTTCGATTCAGAAGTATATTGTCTGTCCCGTAGAATATTTTTAACAGCACCCAAATGGATGCAATGCGAAGCAACTATATAATTTTAATGCTCAAGAAATTAATTTAAAAATTATACTTCCTTTTATACATAAATTATTTGCGTCATAATCGTTGGCACCCTTCATTGAATCACCATAAATTCAATCTAATCATTTTATGCGTCTGGTCGAAAATTATCTTGTAAAGAGAACTGAAAGGAATTTTTTTTATTTGAAGGAATCATAACAAGTTGTAGAACTTATAATATATGTATGAATATTTGTTATTCAATAAATTGAATTATAAAGTACAGTTTAAATTAATGTACAAAATTTTATATCTATGTTGTTTAATTAAAAAAACACATCTACTTGTAAAAAGTTGCGAGGGTTAAAAAAAACTAACTTTTAAAACATTTCCAAAGAAAATTGAATTTTTAAAAATATATTTTTTTTAATTATTTGTAGTTAAAAACAAAAGCTTTTTATACTATATTCAAATTCACAATTGTAGTATAGGCAGTTCTTTTTATTTAAATTATATCACGTTACAAATAACGAAAAATTCAAGAATTCTAATAGACGCATTCTATAACATTTTATGAAAACTACGGTGGCATTACGCAAATTTACTTGATATAGAAATTCAGACTCGTATTACAGTTTAACATTTTTCGTTTTTAGACATTTAAGGGGACATGGTACGATTTAAGCAAAAAATTTTAATTTTAGGATTTTCCAAATTTTTTTGGTTGCGTCCTATGTGTGTATACTATGTAAAACAGTTTTTGTGCTCAAAATTTCATAAAAAGTTAGCCATTTAATTTTTTAAGGAAAAAACTTAAAATGTGTGAAGTGCTTTTAAAATGCTACTCCTCCTACAAAAATTTACGTACACACATGAAATTTGATTTACAAGTACGTCCAACTATGTATAACAAAAATTGGTATGGGTTTTGCGATAACACGAATGGTATTACTTCTTTTTATGAATCCTTATCGAAAATTCCTTAAAAAATTTTCAAATTCTAACTTTAATTATTTTTTAAAAAAATAAGTATTGCTCTGATTAAAAAATGCATACACACTTTTTTTACATGTACTATTAACAATAGGTAAAAAAAATTCAAAGCATTAGGCACAATAGAAAAAAAGCCTTAGTATTTTAAATGAAGACAAACTAGTTATTTTACCTTTCTGAGATAAGTAAGTTTAAAGTTTTGATTTGCCATAGGGATTTGAATAAAAACGAACAAGTTTAGAGTTTTCAAATTTTGTGAGGCTATAGAGAGAAAACTATATTAAGAATAATTTAGGCTAAAAAAATTAGTTTTGATTTTTTGACCAATTTTTGTCAATTGAATCATACTGTGTTCCCTTAAAGATTGAGGTAAACAAAATACAGTACATTATACTAATGTTTAAATAGGTGTATTTCATAACATGTATAGTGAAACATTCTCTTCATAAACTCTCTGTGAGTTTTTAAATACTGTTTAAAAACAA